CAGATAAAGTCATGTTAGATTTGACTGATTTCAGATAAAGTCATGTGAGATTTGACTGATGTCAGATAAAGTCATGTGAGATTTGACTGATGTCAGATAAACTCATGTGAGATTTTACTCATGTCAGATAAAGTCATGTTAGATTTGACTGATGTCAGATAAAGTCATGTGAGATTTGACTGATGTCAGATAAAGTCATGCTAGATTTGACTGATGTCAGATAAAGTCATGTTAGATTTGACTGATGTCAGATAAAGTCATGTTAGATTTGACTGATGACAGATAAAGTCATGTTAGATTTGACTGATGACAGATAAAGTCATGTTAGATTTGACTGATGTCAGATAAAGTCATGTTAGATTTGACTGATGACAGATAAAGTCATGTTAGATTTGACTGATGTCAGATAAAGTCATGTTAGATTTGACTGATGTCAGATAAAGTCATGCTAGATTTGACTGATGTCAGATAAAGTCATGTTAGATTTGACTGATGTCAGATAAAGTCATGCTAGATTTGACTGATGTCAGATAAAGTCATGTTAGATTTGACTGATGTCAGATAAAGTCATGCTAGATTTGATTGATATCAGATAAAGTCATGTTAGATTTGACTGATGTCAGATAAAGTCATGTTAGATTTGACTGATGTCAGATAAAGTCATGTTAGATTTGACTGATGTGACAGTCGATCAAGTACTTACCTGGCGCTACACACCTGTCGACTGTGTCTGACACTAGCCAGCCGTTAGCTCAAAGTCTGGCACCAGTTCCAGTATCTCAGCAGGGGAGCTCTGGCCAGGTCTACGGTATACAGATTTCTATAGCCACAGCCACCTCCATAACGGTTAAACATGGGGGGGGGGGGGAGTAAGGACGGGGGTCTACAGCTGGGTGGTGTAAGGACGGGGGTCTACAGCTGGGTGGTGTAAGGACGGGGATCTACAGCTGGATGTAAGGACGGGGATCTACAGCTGGGTGTAAGGACGGGGGTCTACAGCTGGGTGTAAGGACGGGGATCTACAGCTGGGTGTAAGGACGGGGATCTACAGCTGGGTGTAAGGACGGGGATCTACAGCTGGGTGTAAGGACGGGGATCTACAGCTGGGTGGTGTAAGGACGGGGATCTACAGCTGGGTGTAAGGACGGGGATCTACAGCTGGATGTAAGGACGGGGGTCTACAGCTGGGTGGTATAAGGACGGGGATCTACAGCTGGGTGGTGTAAGGACGGGGATCTACAGCTGGGTGTAAGGACGGGGATCTACAGCTGGGTGTAAGGACGGGGATCTACAGCTGGATGTAAGGACGGGGATCTACAGCTGGGTGTAAGGACGGGGATCTACAGCTGGGTGTAAGGACGGGGATCTACAGCTGGGTGTAAGGACCGGGATCTACAGCTGGGTGTAAGGACGGGGATCTACAGCTGGATGTAAGGACGGGGATCTACAGCTGGGTGTAAGGACGGGGATCTACAGCTGGGTGTAAGGACGGGGATCTACAGCTGGGTGTAAGGACGGGGATCTACAGCTGGGTATAAGGACGGGGATCTACAGCTGGATGTAAGGACGGGGATCTACAGCTGGGTGTAAGGACAGGGATCTACACCTGGGTGTAAGGACGGGGATCTACAGCTGGGTGTAAGGACGGGGATCTACAGCTGGGTGTAAGGACGGGGATCTACAGCTGGATGTAAGGACGGGGGTCTACAGCTGGGTGTAAGGATAGGGGTCTACAGCTGGGTGGTGTAAGGACGGGGATCTACAGCTGGGTGTAAGGACGGGGATCTACAGCTGGGTGTAAGGACGGGGATCTACAGCTGGGTGTAAGGACGGAGATCTACAGCTGGGTGTAAGGACGGGGGTCTACACCTGGGTGTAAGGACGGGGATCTACAGCTGGGTGGTGTAAGGACGGGGGTCTACAGCTGGGTGGAATCAACTGACTGTTAAAACCTTAATTTAAAATTAAAAAAACATATTAAGGTAATTTTCATGGCTATTTGAATACTAGAAGAGACGAAATTCATGTAAATTAGCGTTCTTATTCTTTCCCATGCAGAACAATGCTCTAGTACAGAGTAGCATGTCCTTTTGAGTGTGTTCTATTGAAGGTTTTAGAGGGGATGTTTTGGCCAACTTTATATGTAGGAAGCTGGGCGAGGGTTTTCCAAAAGCAATTGAATTATCCGTACCGTGGTTAGGGTCAGAGCTCATTAAGAACTCATTTAAATATGGAGGAAGTAAGGAAAGTTTTTATTCCAGTCGCCTGTACAAGAGCTCTACGAGTGGTCTGTCATTCTGACGGCACCCAGAGCCTCGCTCTGGCCCCCGCTCCAGCCCACGGGCCTGACTCCCATCGTGACCCCCGTCCATCGTGACCCCATCCCCCGTCCATCGTGACCCCCGTCCATCGTGACCCCCGTCCCCCGCCACCCACATCTACTTAAAGCCTGGACCAGGACCTGCTCGACCATTCGGACTGGACCAAGCGGAATCCTCAGGTCAGTAGCTCGTCTTTCCTCGTTTTTAGAAGCTTTTTTTTTCAGTTCGCAACGTATGTTTGTATCTGTGTTTGTTTGTTTGTTTGTTTGTCTGTCTGGTTGTGGGTTTGTGTCAAATCTTGTAGCGCAATTTTGACCTACTTCTAATGCAGCGATTTCAAACTTTACAGACACGTTCCACTTTGATGACAATACAAGTCTTTCTATTTTTAATTTAAGTAGATGTTTAGTTAGTCATTTAAAATTATTTAAACAGTTTTGGAACTAAAGGGAGGTAAAAAAAATGTAATCACTCGATAGATTGCTATATTTAATAACAGAAGGGGGTGGGGGGAGGTAACTTGCTAGACGCGATCACCCTAACAGTCTAGTGAGCTGTGGTTCACGAGAATGTTTTCAATCGTTGAGCCGTTCGATCTAGTGCAGGTATTAGGGGCAGATAATAAAGTTTTTAAACTATTTGAAATTAAGGGGAGGTAACAAAATTAAGAACTTGCTTTCGTCTGTAAAATATGGTCACGGACGGCTGCTTTCACGGGGCAGTTAAGGGGGCAGTATCACCCCGACAATGGAAAATTGACAAAAAAATGTGCCCGAAAAAACTATTATACATACACACATAATTATTTTTTACCATAATAGTTACTATCAAGGAGCTATAAAACAGCAGATAAAAGAAAGATTTTTAATTTTTGGTTTTATTCTCATCTTGGTCTCTGCCTTTGACGTCATCTCAATCTAATCCGGTGCTTGTACCTTACTAGCCGTCCCGGCCAGGCCCTGCTCTGGCTTCTGTGAAAAACCTTCCTGTTAAAGACCATTACCTGTGTGTTTAGTAATCATCATAAACCCGGCATTGCCCACCCAAACCACAACCAACCAAAACCAAAACAACAAAACGCAAACATAACGCTAACACAATTACAAATACAAACGAAAACAAAAACCTAACAACAAACCCAGCCACAATCACAAACACCAATACAAACACAAAGAAAAAACAAACAAAAAAGCAAACGAAAACAAAAACCTAACAACAAACCCAACCACAACCACAAACACCAATACCAACCAATAACAACACACAAAAAAAACGAAAAAGCAAACGAAAACAAACCAAATCCAAACGCAAAACCAACCAAAAACACAAATACAAACCCAAAGAAAAAAGCACAAACAAAAACGGAAAAAGAAAGAACAAAAAAGAACACAATCAAACCGCAACCACTAACGCAAACCCAACGGAATCGCCTGTTTTATCTTAATAAACGACTATAGTACCCCAACTTATTCATAGTCTTTTGCACTCACTTAAACGAACGCGCCAGTTTCAATTTAATGAACAGTTATAATACTCCAAGCTTATCCGTAAAATACCTACAACTTGATCAATCCCCGCTAATTATGTAATTAGTTTTTTTCCCAACACCAAAACAAAGTAATAAAAAGTAAATTCTTTTCCTCTAATGTAATGGTTTTATAAAGGGAAGTAATTCTGTTTTCCTAATTTATATAAGGGAAGTAAGTGCTATAGGACTAAATAAAGACATAATTAGAATTTTTGTAAAAGATGATATTTTTTTAAAACTTGTGTTTAATGAACATGCCGAAAATTATTACTTTCAGTTTGATAAATGAACATTTTTTCCCATAACTTTCAATATTAATTTTTTAACTCATAAATTTAGACCATAAGGACTTTAATTATCTAACACTTTAATCCATCGAAGTATGTCAACGACAAACATATGTATTTTCACATACAGAATTGAGCTTTATATATTAGACTAGCCGTCCCGGCCAGGCCCTGCTCTGGCTTCTGTGAAAAACCTTTCTGTTAAAGACCGTTACCTGTGTGTTTAGTAATCATCATAAACCAGGCATTGCCCACCCAAACCACAACCAACCAAAACAACAAAACGCAAACATAACGCTAACACAATTACAAATACAAACGAAAACAAAAACCTAACAACAAACCCAGCCACAATCACAAACACCAATACAAACACAAAGAAAAAACAAACAAAAAAGCAAACGAAAACAAAAACCTAACAACAATCACAACCACAACCACAAACACCAATACGAACACAAAGAAAAAAACAAACGAAAAAACAAACGAAAACAAACCAAATCCAAACGCAAAACCAACCACAAACACAAACCCAAAGAAAAAAAACACAAACGAAAAAGCAAACGAAAACAAACCAAATCCAAACGCAAAACCAACCACAAACACAAATACAAACACAAACCCAAAGAAAAAAACACAAACGAAAACGAAAAAAGACAGAACAAAAACGAACCAAATCAAAACGCAACCACTAACGCAAACCCAACCTAAACACAAAGAAAATACTAACGCGAACATAAACGCAAAGTGCTCACAGTCTAGCCCGGGACAGAATCGCCTGTTTCAGCTTAATAATCGACTATAGTACCACAACTTATTCATAGTCTTTTGCACTCCCTTAAACGAACGTAGGTGCCAAACCAAACCAAATGAACAATTATAATACTCCAAGCTTATTCGTAAAATACCTACAACATTTGCATTTGATCAATCCCCGCTAATTATGTAATTATTTCTTTCCCAACACCAAAACAAAGTAATAAAAAGTAAATTCTTTTCCACTAATGCAATGTTTTATAAAGGGAAGTAATTGTGTTTTCCTAATTTATCAAAGGGAAGTAAGTGCTAAAGGACTAAATATAAATAATTTTCAGACATAATTAGAATTTTTGTTATTTCTTTAAAATTATGTTTAATGAACATGCCGACAATTATTACTATCAGTTTGAAAAATGAAAATTATTTCCCAACACTTTCAATAGTAATTTTTTAACTTACCTACAGAATTGAGCTTTATATATTAGATTGTATGTCATGTGTTCACTAAGACGTCAAATAGTGGACGTCTTGTGTATGTGTAGTGTGTATTGTCTCGTTAGTGATTCTATAATTGTAACATGTGCACATCCTGATGTTGCTCGACTATAAAGATGTGCACATCCTGATGTTGAGAGTGCTAGAATGCCATTGGTCTGGAGGTAGCCTGACTGCCATTAACAATATGTCGCAGGTGCCAGTCACTGGTTGCAGCCGATTTAAATACGTTGGTTCGTAGGTTCGTTGGTTCGTTGGTCCGTAGGTTCGTTGGTTCGTAGGTTCGTTGGTCTGTAGGTCGTAAGTTCATTGGGTCGATGGTTCGTACTTTTGAGAGTTAGTTAGTTCGTTGGTTCGTAGGTGGAGATCAAATGAGTATCTAATTTAGCTAACCACTCACCCCCCACCATTTCCCCCACCTTCCACACCATCACACAAACATCTAAGTAAAGTTTAGCCACCACACCAACATATTTGACAAGTTTAGCCATCACACCAACATATTTGACAAATTTAGCCACCACACCATCATATTTGACAAGTTTAGCCACCACACCAACATATTTGACAAGTTTAGCCATCACACCAACATATTTGACAAATTTAGCCACCACACCATCATATTTGACAAGTTTAGCCACCACACCAACATATTTGACAAGTTTAGCCACCACACCAACATATTTGACAAGTTTAGCCACCACACCAACATATTTGACAAGTTTAGCCACCACGCCAACATATTTGACAAGTTTAGCCACCTCACCAACATATTTGACAAGTTTATCTGACGCTGGCCAGGACTGTGCGAGAAATCCCTGCCTTGCCTGCAGCAGATTGTATCACAGACGAGCTCTGTGACATCAGGTGCAACCATCTCTTGACTCTAATTGATCTCAACTTAGCGCCATCTTGTATTTTTAGCTCGGGTTTAGGCGAGTTTATTCAGGCACTCCCAGCACTCGACGGTTGGAGCTGGAATCAGACAGTGTCATCTCCCGTTCAGTTGCTTGGATGTTACGCTTCAGTGGACTGTTAACGTGTTTAGTTGTCACTAGAACAATAAATGACGTAAACTGAGACAGTTTGCGTCAGATGACGTTGACTGAGACAGTTTGCGTCAGATGACGCTAACTGAGACAGCTTGCGTCAGATGACGCTAACTGAGACAGCTTGCGTCAGATGACGCTAACTGAGACAGCTTGCGTCAGATGACGCTAACTGAGACAGCTTGCGTCAGATGACGCTGAGACAGATTGCGTCAGATGTCCGTGGTTGCAGCGTTGCACCAGTGCAAGCCAACGAACCTTTCTGTGTATGACGTCATAATCACGTGACTCCCGTGTTTCCTGTGGGAGTTTCTCCAGCTTTTAAATAGATGTCGAGTGGTGGGGAGGGCTCATTGTGTGGCCATTCAGGACAAGGTAGGTTGTCAGCTGGCTGTCATGTTGTCAGCTGTCTGTCATGTTTGCTGTCATGTTGTCAGTTGGCTGTCATGTTGTCAGCTGGCTGTCATGTTGTCAGCTGGCTGTCATGTTGTCAGCTGGCTGTCATGTTGTCAGCTGGCTGTCATGTTGTCAGCTGGCTGTCATGTTGTCAGCTGGCTGTCATGTTGTCAGCTGGCTGTCATGTTGTCAGCTGGCTGTCATGTTGTCAGCTGGCTGTCATGTTGTCAGCTGGCTGTCATGTTGTCAGCTGGCTGTCATGTTGTCAGCTGGCTGTCATGTTGTCAGCTGGCTGTCATGTTGTCAGCTCCCGTAGTGTTATATAAGAATATTCGAGAAAGTTTAGGGGAGATATCTCTCGACAATTTATCGTTAAATAATGTCATTCAATGAAAGAATACGACTGGCTTTTATTGTGATATTCAAGGGAAAATTAAAAACTCCAGCCCATTATAGGCTACTGTTATAGGCTACTGTTATAGGCCTATGTTATAGGCTGCTGTTATATGCTACTGTTATAGGCTACTGTTATAGGCTGGTGTTATAGGCTACTGTTATAGGCTGCTGTTATAGGCCTATGTTATAGGCTGCTGTTATAGGCTACTGTTATAGGCTACTGTTATAGGCTGCTGTTATAGGCTGCTGTTATAGGCTACTGTTATGTG